GCGGGCTGACTGCTTGCAGGTGAGTGGTGCAGCCTTTCTGCACAGCAGCTGAGCTTGGTCTGCAGATTGCTGCTGGCCTCATACATCTTGGAGTCAGAGCTCAGGAGAGGCCAAAGCCAGCACCACAAGAGCGACTACGAAGCTCTGCAACCACTGGGGAACACTTGTCTATTTGTCCTTCACCTATAAGGCCACTGATTCCCCAACAGAGGGAAACCCTACCCAAGCTGTCTGCAAGAAGGAATGATGCTACAGAAGATTTAAACAAAAGCCTTAATAAATGTTCTCAATTCCTACCCCCCCCTTACTCCATCCCTACTGCAGAAATTAATGCAACAAGCCCTCTTTATAGGGATAAACAGAGTATGTGAGAACGTGCTGTAGATGGAAAGGGAAGAAAAAGGTTCCCACCAGCGTCACTAAAAGCAGCAGGCTGTCTTCAGAAAGCTTCTGGCTCAGTATGCTCAGAGCCTGGGGTGCAGCAGGAGACCACCAGGCTGCATGGGCCACATGGAAACATCAACTTTCAGGTGTAAAAAAAACCAAACAAATCAGGAATCTGAGATGCTGTGGGTGCTCTGCTCAATGCTGCACACCACACTGCAGCAGAAATGCTAATACAAGTTTAGTTTTAACACTGGAGATATTTCAGAAGATTCCCAAAGCTTTGATAATATTTAACATCTCTACTAATTTCCTTTCTGGCGTAATCATGAATGTACCATAGTAGCCAACAGATCTGGGATGAAGTACAAGTTCTAGCTGGCTGCAAAGCAGACAGGAATCATGTGTGCTCGTACTGTTTTCTCCCACAGCATACCTCTGCAAAACTGACTTAAAATGAGAAAAGAAATTGTGAAACTGTCATTACAAAGAAGCATTTAAAATGCAGATCAAAGTGCCGCCTTGGAAGCCGTATTCCTGGCCAAATCATCAGAGCTCTCTTTACTCTCAAGAGTTCCCCAAATCCTCCGGTTTGGATGATGAACTACAGCCGAAATTTATCTGCTCTAAAAAAATTGCACAAAAAGTCACAACTCCTTTCTCCTGCTACCAACCACTTCTCTCCCAAGTCCATTTTATACGACTTTCTTTTACTGCTCCATCAATTAACTTGCACAAACGGGTTCACGCCTGTGTGCACACAGATGCTACCCCAATGCTGCAGCCCATCTCCAGCATTTCCTCCTCAAATAATTACGGTGATTCAGCCACACAGACGGGGCGAGCGCTGCGTGCAGCATCCCCACTGACGTTAATGATCCCTTTGCTTTATGGCTGCCTGGCAGTGTGCTGATGGCATGAACAAAGTTTCTGCACAACTGCAGCCCTGCACATCCCTCCTGCGGGCAGAGCTGCACCACCAGCAGGTGCCCCATGTCAGCACCAAGGGCTGCAGTGACCGAACAGCACGGATCTCCCTGCAGGCAGTGAGTGAGGTGTGAGCCAGTTTGTCAACGAAAAGCCATTGCAAATAAATGACCTTTTTTAGCTCATGAGGTTACCAAATTCTTCCAGATGCCATTACCTGAAACAAGACCAGCAGGGATGACAGCACAGTGAGTTACTTAGGAAAGCAGCTGGGCTGTAATTACGCCTATTAGTGACACCACGTATTTTGGTACTTCCCTTGAAAAGGTCTCCTCATGTCTACCCATTTATAATTTAGGTTTACAAACTCATTTTCAAGTTGGATTTAACTTGCCACTGACTCTCAGTGCTGGAGAGCTAAAAATGTTAGCACAGTGGGTGAGCGACAGCAAATAAAAACCAATAAGGAGAGAGAGCACTTCTCCATAGGCACTCCTCTCCATCTGCAAAGCGAGCGGCTCATTCATACCCTGAGCATCTCGAGGTGTGTCAGACCCCCCCGCAGCTCCTGGCTCTGAGGGACGCGGTGTGGGTGCTGTGTGTCACACACTTCAGTGTCATCACTGTCAGTCAGCACCACGGCACCAGGTGAAACGAGTGCAGGGCTGGGTGAGGGCTGGGCAACGTGCTGCCCATGATACATCCCGCAGTCCCCATGCCCTGCTCTGCACCTCCTGCTGGGGCAGCCCCAGCCATGCCACATCCCTGTGCTGTGCGTGGTCCTGGGCACCGCTGCTGTGTGTGCAGTAGGGTCCTGCTGCAATGCCATCTAGGTGTTCACCCAGAAGGAAAAAAAAAAAAAGCCACATCTTTCTCCTCCCCTTTCCTCCACTACGTCTTTTCATTCTCCCATTCAGCCCTGATTATAGCAGCAGGATTACATCACTGCTCAAGGGCACCAAACCAAGTCTGGCTTTATGACCCCAGTGCTGCAGGACTGGAGCATGGCCAGCCCCCAGGCCACCACCTGCCCCTGCCCTGCTCCTTCCGTGCACCCCTGGGGATGCCGACCTGCACGCGGAGCAGCGCTGCCTGCAGGGACACATGGCATTCTCCTGGTTTTGGCTGCAGCCAAACCGAGAACCACAACCGGGGCACACTTAGAGAACACTCTACAGCTTGCTAAGGCACTGACGGCAGCTCAGCCTTCCTACAGCCTCCTACAGGAAACCTCACAGATGAGGGAGGAAAAGAAAGTGTTACACACTCTGCCCTGAGCACTGTGTCAGGACAGAGACATCGCTGCCAAAACACAGTCTGAAGTGGTAAGGAGACATGATCCTCAGTGAAGCCATCAGCGCTGTTTGTTACTAAACCCAGGAATGCAAAAACCTCGAAGCCCTCACTCCAGGCAAAGCTCCCACCGGTGCTGCCCAGCCCAGCACCATGGCTCCCAGGCAGCCCCCAGCACCCCCAGCACGAGCACAAACCCAGCACAAGCTCTGCACACCCACGCCCGGAGCTGCCCCATTCCTGCACCAAACACCTCCTCGGCACCCCATCTCCCTTGGCAGCTGAACCCCTTTGGGATCATCCCATGGGGTCTGACACAGCCCTGGCACAGGTGAGGTCCTCGTGGAGATGCTGGCATGCTGCAATGCCACCCCGAAGTGATGAGCTCCCAGATACACACCTCAGTCTGTCACTCACCACACAATGAGTTCTTTACGGACTCTTCTGACACCAGGCTCAGCCCTGACCTCTGTCACTCCGCAGAGGCAATCTGTTACCACTGCTGCACCCAGTGCTGCCCAGCACAGCTGAGTGGGCTCAGCCTCTCCTTCCCAAACCCCTCATCCAGGAGCTGCGCGGAGCTGCGCAGAACACAGCTGCTGCCCACTGCTCAGGGAGAGCCAGCGAAAAACAGTTTGGGGGCTCAGATACAGGGCTAACCTAACGAGAGAGCTAAATTAGCTTACAGCTCTGCCACTATCTCAAAGCGTTCCTGCCTGGGAACTTCTGGCTGGGAACTGAGATAGCATCTGATGGGAGCTGCCCAGACGTCCCCTGAGAGCTGTATTAAAAGAATAAATACAAACATGCGATTGGAGGAGGAAAAAGCCATAATATCACTTTCTGTGAGGATGGATGGAGCTCAGCTCTTCCCTCCCCTCCAGAGCCGGGCTATCAGGTAACAGCTCCTGCAGGACCACCACAGCCCACCGCTGCCACTGCGGTGAGCGGCAGCAGAGAGACAAATGACATCGGTGGCAAAGGGGAAGCCCGGGAAGGGACAGACAGGAGAGCAGCCCTGCAGCTCAGCCACACAACCCAGCCCTGGGGTTGAGCACAGCGTGGGCAGCACTGCAGGGACAGCCCTCGGGACTGCGGGCACTGCACCCCACTGAGCCCATGTCAGAAACTGCAGAAACAAAACCCAAGATGCTATCTCTAAGAAGTATGAAATTCAAAGCTGGGGTGGTTGCTAGAAAACCTCACGGCAACAGAGTGGGAGAGCAGCTCTATCTCCAGCAGACACTGCCCGTGTGAGCTCCCAGCGCTGCCACCAGCCCAGCCCGGCACCGGCTGCAGCCTCAGCCCCGCAGCGCTGCTGCCGGCACCCACGGAACGGTCCTCATTATGTGCCCGCCGCTATTGGTATGCACATCCCGCCCGGCCGCTGGAGTCAGGGGAGAAGAATGGTCTATTCAGTACCGGCAGTGTTAATAAAATCAGGCAAATCCAGCTTAGTTTTGTCTGAACACGAATGAGATTAAATCAAGATTAAACGCACGCAGTACAAAGAGAATGGTTTATGCTAAAATTCAGAGTGAATCCATTTTAGCACCCGGCGTAGAACCGCCCCCAGCTCTCCCGCAGGACGCGGACACCTGAACCGAACAGCGGCGGAACCGGAGGCGGCGGAGGCTGCCCGGCACCGGGCTGTGTGCGGCACTGCTCACGGACCCACTGCGGGAACGGCACGGACCGCAGCAGCGCCCGGTGCCACGGCCCCGCAACCGGCACTGAGAGAACCCACGTCCTGCTGGGAGCACACGCACAGCCCTCCCCAGCTTTTGTGCCATTGAGCATCAGCCTCAGCGGGTTTAAGTTCTACAGCACCGCGCTGACAGCCCGCCTGGCCCCAAGATCTTTCTCTGCACAGAAAACCCCTTCGGTTTTCAGTCCCAGAGCAGCCACCGCGCCTCTGTCCTCGGCAGTGCCATCCTGCGCTCCATCTCCGCGCACTCCATCTCCAAAAGGCAAAGAGCAACAGAACGGCGGTGCCATCGGGTCAGGCGCCGTCCTTTCCTACTCTGCGCGGGTTGAAAAATATTCATTACCAAAGGCGAACAGCCCCCAAAAGAGACAGGGAAAAAAAAAAAAAAAGCACAACCACGCCGACACCGGGAGATGGGGGGTGGGGTGGGGGGGCTCCTCTCCGCGCCGAGACAGCGAGAGGCCTCGCGGGGCCGGGGGAGACCCGGGCGAGGGGTCGGGGCCGCGGGCACCGCGCGGGGGCGGCGGAGCGGAGCGGCACCTTCAGCCCCGCCGTGCCACCGCCGTGCGTGGGGAGCGCAGCGCGGCCACAGCCAGGGAACTTCCCCAGCCCCGCTCCCACCGCCCGCTGCCATCTGCGCACCCAGCGCTGCACGCCCAGCCCCGGAGGGCCGCAGGACGGTACTTACTGATCTCCATGCTCTGGAACAAAGACCTTTTGCAGTTGCATGTGCAGGACACATTGGGCTGAATAGCGACGGCCGTGCTGTTCAGACCCATTAAGTTATACATTTAAAAAAAAAAAATTAAAAAAAAAAAAAGAAAAAAAAAAAAGAAGAAGAAGAAGGCGACGGCGACACAAAGCACTTCAGGGCCGCCGAGCGCTCCCCGGGCAGCACCACATAAAGCCGGGGCTCCTCCTCGGCGCGGGGGGGGGCGGGGGGAGGGAAATGCAGCTGCGATTAAAAATTGGAAATCACAGCCGCGGCGCAGCGCAGCGCCCCCCGCAGCGGCTCTGCCCGGCACGGCTCGGCTCCGCCCGGCTCGGCTCCGCGCCCCCTCCGGCCCGGGCAGCGCTGTGCTGGGCCCGGCCGCGGCAGCCCCTCACTTTTGTGGGGCGCGGCGGAGCGGCGCGGCGCGGCGGGAGCGCGGCCCGCCCGCTCCCCGCTCCCCGCTCCGCTCCCGCCCCCCGCGCTCATTCACGGCCACGGGGACGCGGCCGCGCGCCGCCGCCAGCCGCGGGCGGGCCCCGTGACGTCAGCGCCAGACGGGGACTGCCCCGCGTCCTCGCGCCGCCGCCGCGGGGGGGTCTTGCGGGGGGAGGGGGGGGGCACCGAGGGGGGGGGCGCCCCGCGGTGCGGAGCGGGGCCGGGGGGGGCGGAGGCCCCGAGCACCGCGGTCCGTAGGGAAAGAGAAGGGAAGGGACGGGGCAGGCCGAGCGCCGCGGGCGGCAGCGCGGGGCTGTTCGCTCCTCCGGATCTCAACCCATAGTTCTCATTCCCTTTCATTATTATTATTTTTGCTTTAGAGTGATCGCTTGAAAATGGAGCAGCCCCGTTCGCTTTTAGAAAGGAGAAAGGAAAATACTCCATCTCCTTCCCGGGGCTCCACGTGCCGGGGCTCAGCACAGACTTCTGAGCCCAGAAAGGGACCCGCAGTCCCGCAGCCCGGCGTTGTGCACAGCGCAGAGGTCCATTTTTCCGTGGTGGTTTACGAACCCTCGGTAACGATGTGCCTGCACTTCGCAGTGCCTCGTGCCCCGTCCAGCTGCTTGGTGGCCACAGCTGGGGGCTGCCAGGCCGAGCTGCCCCTCTGTGCCACCCGGCAGTCACCATCCTGGGGAGCAGCGGGACGCCGTGCTCAGAGCGAGCTGCACTGCTCAGCTCCCGGTGTGTGTGGGCCCACTGCCACCACTGCTCCTCCAGAGACACGGCTTTGTGTATTCAAAGCCTTTGGCAGCTGAATATTAGAGACCCGATCCCAATGAGCCTCAACTGGTGGCCCCAAAAGGTGGCTGTGAGCTCAGCTCCTGCCCGCAGCTGGCAGCACCCCTGCTCAAGGCAAGGTGACAACGTGGTGGCAGCCCTGCAGTGCCAGCCCCCCTGCCCGGGAACGCAGGCCATGCAGCCCCACAGCTTGCAGGGCTCCACAGGAGGAAGGCTGCATGGGAGGAAGGCTCTGGTTGCAGACACAGGCTGCTGCAAGTCCGCACGTTGCTCTCACCTCCCGGAAGACAAAGCAGAACGGTCTGCAAGTCGATGCTGGCCTACAAACGCCCCAGTTCCCGCTATCCCGACTGCATCTGAACCACTCATGTGGCTTTACAACTATCAGCATTTTTCCACCGTGATTTAAGAACAAATAATTAAAGTCACCCCAGATGGGCTGGTAAAAGCAGCGTACCTCAGCTAACCGAACGCTCTGCAGTAACACCCCACCCCCCGTGGTGCTCAGGGCAGCATCACACACTGCAGTGCTTCTACAGTGCATCTCTGCATTCTGACACCTGTGCTCCATCCCAGCTGAGCTCGAGCTCCTTGGACAACCTGCACAGCACACAGCGATGCTCTCTGGTCTGTGGGGCCAATGGCCTGCGGTCAGTCACTGCTCACACAGTCGTGCTTCAGTCTTTGCTTTCATTCGTCACGGCTGCACTTCAGCGTTACAGATCACAGTGAGACCCTGCTGTAATCATTGCAGTGCTACACCAGGGACAGACTGATAACTGATAACCATAATAGACATAAGTAACACTAAGAGTCAAACCATCTTGACAGAGTGGTTGAGGAGATCCAAAGAAACACAAAAACAGCTCCCCAAAGGTTTGTTAACCAAACAGCTGTCCATTGAGGAGACAAGAGTATCTCACAGCATTACTCTTCAGACTCATGTTAAATAGATACGCACCAATGCAATAGGGCAAGAGTTACCATGGTGAATAATTGTACATTTATTTCCAAGCGCACCTTATTTCTAACAATTCCAGACACGGTTCCCACTTTCTGGTGACTAACCACTTCATTGAGGTTTTTAAACTCTTTGAGACAAGGCACTCCAATGCTCTCCTTGGCAGGCAGCAATACTGAGATCTGTGCAGAGAACAGTGCTGGGCAGGGACGGTGCCCAGCAGCCCCTCGCTTCCCTCTGCAAGTTTGCACAGATTATTCTCACATATGATTTAAAGCCCAGCAGCCACTCTGAATTAATTCTTCAGCAGATGAGCCCTCATTGTTGTCTGGAACATCAGACACATTTTCCTTCTCAGAGTTCATCCTCTGAAGTACGTGTTGAGAACCACCACAATCAAGATTTCACCTCCAATGATCCGCAGTGCCCACCTGTGTCTCTCCTAATGAATTGTGGCTCTGCTGCTCCCATCCTGAGCCCCATGGAGCCCAACTGCTTCTACAAAGCACCACCCACAACCCAAACCCTATGCGCTAGAGCGCTGCCCCAACACTGTGAGCTCTGGCAGCTCAGGGCCGTGCCCACAGCCCTTGGGTTACTGTTCCATGCCCACCAACCTCTCAGCACAGCTTTTCCCCAACACCCCCCGGACCCTCCCGATAGCTCCATGCCTGTCGCTCTCACCATACAGCAGAGCAGCACAGGACACCTCCACCCCAGCAGTGCCCACGGGAGCACAGCCCTGTGCCAGCCCCAGTCTCCCCAGATGAACGCGTTTTATTTTCTTGCACTGAAAACCAAAACCAGCAAAACCAGGCAGGGAATTTTGGGGTAGACTTATGCAGGGCCAGGACCCCACGATCCCTGCAGGTCCCTTCTAACCCGGGGTTAGATGCATGTAAAATAAAACATCGCTAGGGAACGAGTCTCAAAACGCCCGGACGTGCCACAACCTCGCACCTCCTCGGAGCACCGCAGGCCCAGGGAGGCGGACTCACCCACCCGCACAGCGGCGGTGCGGCGGCCCCTTTAAGGTCCCCAGACGCCTCGGGGGCGGCCCCAGACGGCGCCCGATGTCACGGACGGGCGTTCCCCCGCCCTCCGCATGTAAACGACGCGCGCTCTCAGCCAATCAGAAGTGGGAGACCCGGCCGCCGGGCTCCGGATAACCAATGGGAGAAAGGAGGCGGGGCACTCCCGGCCATGTGGGCTTTCCGTCCACGTGGGGCGGGGCCGTGACCGCGCGCTGACCCGGTGCCGTGACAAAGGCGCAGCTCGCGCCTTCCCGCACCGCCGCCTGGAGGGGCCCGTGCCGGCGGGGAGCGCCGCGGGGGGCGGCGGCTGCGGGCGGGGCCGAGCGGAGCGGAGCGGAGCGGAGCCGAGCCGAGCCGAGCCGCGCTGCGGGGCTGATCCGCTGTGCGGCGTGTGCGCTGTGGGCAGATCGCGCCGCGCGTGCCCCTGACGCCCTCCGCACTGCGGCCCCGTTCGCTCGGGGTTCAGCACCAGAGCGACGGGAACACAAACAAACGGGCCGACGAGGAGACGGGGAGGATCCTGGAACGCGAACGCTCCCATAAATGCCTTTTCCGTAACTCTATTTACTCAGCTGCTGCAGTGACTTCAGCCCAGCGCCGAAACCCCCCATCCATCCCCTGCGTGACGGTGCGAGCCTCCGTGTGCCGCTACCTGCGGGCTGCGCTTTGCCCCTCGCTTGCGAAGAGCCGTCAGCCCCGCAGCGCGTCTCGCCCCGCCCCGAGGTGGGCCGCAGCCCCCCCGCAGCACCGGGCATTCCTGCGGTCCCTGCCGGCCCGGCCCGGTGCGCTGCGGGGGCCGCGGGAAGATTTCATTTTCCGAAGGAAAAGAGTTTTAATCTCAGTTTAAACCAAAGGGTTCTGCTTTTGCAGATCTTTTCCTGCTGGATTTATGCGGCTCATCCATCGCCAGTGTTTCCAAGGAAACCAATGTGCCCTGTTCTCACCGAACCAAATCTCACTATTAAAACAATTAAAAACTTAATCTGGGTTCCGCTCCTTGCTCCCTCCTCTCCTTTCGGTATTATCGTAGGCATTTTAATTAAAAACACGATAGCAGTAAGTATTTTACACATTTGTAGGCTACACCCTAAGTTACCTATTGGAAACTTGACTCCAGAGCATCATAACAGGGAATCAAATCTACTTCCACAGCTGGGTAAAAACAAGCGAGCGGGACTCTTGCTGAGCTGCTGACAGCCATTGCTCCCAAAGGCCACCCGCCGGCTGTCAGAGCTGAGGGCACTGCTGGGACTGCAGCACTGCTGTGTCCTGTGCAGCCCACAGCCCCAGTTCTAGCAGGGCCGGCAGTGCAGGGCAATGCAGGGCACTGACAGCTGGGTGCAGGCCTGGAGCTCTGCAGCCTGCTGCCCTCTGTGCCCAGCCAAAGCCGACCAGCAGCTTGCACACTGCGCCCAAAGGGCTGTGGGACAGAGCAGCAGGGCCGGGCCTGGCAGCCTTCCCCCTCCCTGATGTGTTTGTAGGGAGCCCCGCTGCTGCCCTCAAATTTGAGCCCCAGGGACAACCGCCAGGGAGCTTAAAGCCTCCAAGCACACACACAGCTCGGGCTCTTTGTGCTCAATGCTTTTTGCTGGTTTGATCTGAAGAGGCAGCCGGATCCTGGCACGGGGCAGCGGGGCTGCTGAGGAGAGGGATCTGCAGGTCAAGAGGCTCCTGACAAGAGGAAGCCGGCTCTGAGCAGAAGTGAATGCCACCAGGAAGGCAGCAAACACAGCCCTGCTCTTTGTTTCCCCGCATTGTGCTCTGCCTGCCGCGCCGACTGCGCTGCTCTGTTCCCTTGTGCGCAGTTCCACCGCCGCGCCGAGGGGCTGAGCACAGGGAAGGAGCGGTCGGCACGGAGACGTTTCATCTGCATCCAGGAGCTAAATCCGTCCCCAGCTTGTGTGCTGCCCCGATTCTCCAAGGAGCAGAAGGGAAATGTGGCCCGGGTGGCTTCCTCCACCATTGTCTGAGCGGTGGCAGAGGGCAGGGGACAGTGACAGCGTGTCTGGGCCAGTGTCTGGGGCACTTCCAGCTCACCCCGTGCCCGGCGGGGCTGACTTTGCAAACCTCCCTGCGGGCGGATTCAGGGCAATGAGTGTTTCTCACCGCTCCGTGCACATCCCTCAGGGCACTGTGTAT